CCCTGCACCATGAGATCTAAGTCTTTATTACATTAGAATAACGCCTATTTTAATATTGAAAACGGAAAATCTTGGCGGCACAAAAGCGAAGACAATGAGAGTGCACAAAATCTATCCACTTAGGTATTTATATTATTATTAGCTGAGCCGGCTGACTTCGTAGTGCCTCAATCGATAATTAAAAGACCTAAACTTTATTTAATTCCGAGAATTTTTATATTTATCTATATCCTTTTAAACCTTCTCTGGACTTCGACAAATAATTCAAGACCAAAATTAGTCAAATCGGTCCAGCCGTTCTCGAGTTTTAGCGAGACTAACGAACAGCAATTCATTTTTATATATACCTATATAGATATAGATTACTACAAGCTAATTTTACAAAGTCTAATATTGCTAACATACCACTAGTCCTTGACCAGCTTATGATCTTAACATTAAAAAAACACAAAACTCTGTCTATAATATAGATTATATAATTTAGATTATTCACAAACAAATCGAATATCTACAATCCAATGAACCAGTGAATATGGAACGGTAGCCTGACCTGAATAACACGAGGGGGAAAATAAAATGTCAGTACCCGATGACCGTGAAGTAAACATAATCGCCATAATCGATTCTCAGGGCTGATTCGCGTGAGGATAGTTTATGAAAAACGAGTAGACAAGAAATATTACACGGTGTTATATCATATGAAGCACATCATATGATTATAGCCTTCAACGATGACAAAAACGCAATCAATCTAATTACAGATAATCAGATACTAAGTAAAAAAAAATATTTTTATTTATTTTATTTGGCTCACAATACACATCACAAGCTAAAGATACATAAAAAACACAAATAAAAAGAAACAAAATCTGGTTTGCAACATAAGTTATGTGCGCACGATAAAACAAGACATATAGTGCTGAATTTGTATAACATTTATATATTTATATATATATTATATTATCATTACTGTGATAGTTGGTAGCCAGTTACCAGAGCCCAAAACCCAACCTAATGAGGTCAAAATATTAATCACTAACCTTTGCCCGCGACTTCGTCCGCGTGGAATAGTTCACAAAAATGCTTTATTTTAGAACAAATTTGGTTAGCATAAAAAACGTTATAGTGAGCTAATCTTAACATATAGACATATGCTGTCGCGGACTTTATTTTAGGTATTTTAAAGGGAAACAATTCTGTCGTAGATTATTTTAGCGAAACTTTAACCGTTTCTACAGCGCACGCAGCGAAAGCTCCAAAAGGGAAAAAAAAACATTTTGAAACATTATTTATTGGTGCTCCGCTTATATTTGTCTTAGCGTGATGTTATATAGCATATAACCTTCCTCAATAGATGAGCTATCTAACACTGAAAGAATTTTTCAAATCGGACCAGTAGTTCCTGAGATTAGCGCGTTCAACCAAACAAACTCTTCAGCTTTATAATATTACTAGCGACCCGCCCTCGTTTCGCTTCGGAAACTGTAATTTATTATTGATTTCTCCACTATTTAATGGATGTTATTATACATGTAAACCTTCCTCTTCAATCACTATATCTATTAAAAAAAAACGCATCAAAATCCGTTGCGTAGTTTTAAAGATTTAAGCATACATAAGGATATAGGGACAGAGAAAGCGACTTTGTTTTATAGTATGTAGTGAAAAAGTATAGATATAGAACAACCGCTCTCCGTTTGACCCTTCCAAATGAAACATTTGACAATGCTTTCCTTATCCGACCATGACGAAACAACGCAAAACCGCCGTCGGCGTCGCCCAAAACATGTCTTGTCGGATCCCCCGGATTCACTCTCGGTGCTTTTAGGACCCTCAAGACTAGTCGAGAGTTCGACTAGCAAACTAACCCATAGACACAGCCCACTGAGTTTCTCGCTGGATCTTCTCAATGGGTCGTGATTCCGGTCCGGTGGTAGATTCTGCGAAGCACTGCTCTTCCTAAGGCTAGTGTGAGCAAATTCTCTCAGTTTGAGCCCGGGAGCTCACCAACCCGTCCGGGTGTAGCTGGAATAGCCTCTTAGGCTACCAACGAATACGTAAGGGGAAAAAAACTATGCTTTAGAAATAAATAACCAAGATCGCGGTATACCGTGTTGACGGAGGCTGTGTGGGCTCATAAAAATGATTCTTAGGACCCAAAAGTACTTAAATTATTGTGGTTTAACTTTTACTACACGATATTATTCTTTTCTCCATCAATTCATTTGTGAAAAAATATTAGGAATTTATTTTTAGTTCATTCTTTAACAGGTATTTTACCTCAACGTGTGAATACTGAAGCGTAGGTACATTTCCACGGAGTCACGGAGCAAGGAAACATTCTTTGCTGATAGTCTCAAGAAACTTTTCTTATATAAATGTGTTCTTAACATATATTACGTTGGTATGTTTCGATTTTGTATCGGCTAGCTAGTATGTAGGCATATTTTAATATGGAAATCGGAATGTCGTTAGAACACATACAAACACTTATTTATTACTGTAGATAGACAGACACAGCTCACGGCCAACCTGGTGTAAAGTGGTTACTGAAACCAAGACATAAGAGTTTGAGTAAGACTTATTATGATATACCTACTTATTATATAATGGTAGGACATCTTGTGAGTCCGCGCGAGTAGGTACCACTACCCTGCTTAATTCTGCCGTGAAGCAGTAATGCGTTTCGGTTTGAAAGGTGGGGCAACCGTTGTAACTATACTTGAGACCTTAGAACTTATATCCAAGGTGGGTGGCGCTTTTACGTTGTAGATGTCTATGGTCTCCAGTAACCACTTAACACCAGGTGGGCTGTGAGCTCGTCCACCCATTTAAGCAATAAATAAGAATACTGTTAGATAGGAGCGCGGATACTTGCATTATACGTCGCACTGTAGGTAAAACAAAACAAAATGCTCTCACCTGTAAATTAGCTGATAATTAACTTCATGTTGCGAACATAACTATGCATCACACTCAGTGTACAATAGCCGTTTCGAAACAGCGTGCGATTTAATGTTTGATTTGACTCGAATGCGAGTGTATTTCCTGTGTAATGTCTAATCTTATGTATAAAATACTAGTGTCACAATGTTAGCCACCATACTCCTCTGAAACGGTTTGACCGATTTTTATGAAATTTTATATGCATGTTCAGTAGGTCTCAGAATTGGCTACTATCTATTTGTCATACCCCTAAGTGATAGCGGTTGTCCACCCCCTTTGTTTTTTGTAATAATGAGGCATTATGTGATTAAATGAGGTATTGTTATTTTTATATTCCTTCATCGTTCACAGCGCTACATGCCTCTTTCACTCATTTACCACATCCTTACACACTTACAATAAGTTATTTGTTTTTTCTACACTAGAAATTCCCTAGAAATCTTATATATGGCAAAACAACGTTTGCCGGGTCAGCTAGTAATGAGAAACATATCTCGCATTTACGATTTTATTTTTGTTTTCAAAAAATTTCGACGAAATGAGGGCATTATGTGATTAAATGAGGTTTTGTTGTTTTTATATTTCCTTATCGTTCACAGCGCTACATGCCTCTTTCACTCATCTATCACATCCTTACACACATACAATAAGTTAGTTTTTTTTTTCTACACTAGAAATTCCCTAGAAATCTTATATATGGCAAAACAACATTTGCCGGGTCAGCTAGTAATGAGAAACATATGTACGCATTTACGATTTTTTTTTTGTTTTCAAAAAATTTCGACAAGACGGCTTTTTCAACCACACGGATACATTGCATAGTTTGTAGGCAAATTTTGCTTGACCTTATTGTTCAATGGAGGTTATCTGTTACTGTATTATGCTCGGGTGTCATATTATAATGTTTTGTGTAATGACCTAACATAAAACTGTTAACTGTCAGTGATCAAAACAGTTCTTAAACAAAATGACTTCTTTGTTTGTTTATTTATAGAATCGACGACAATCATCACTTTGTTAACGATGTCAATAAAAGTTAACATTGACGCGTCTTGTGTTTGAATAAATTTACTATGGAATCCAGTGTCGCCAACTGTTTGAAAACTTTCCCCCTAAAGCAATTTCAAAAACCACTAAATTCAAAACAAAACTCCCCAACGACGGACCAAGTATTTATTCATTACAATATAAGTAAAGAAATAAATAAAAATAATAAATAATTAGTTATTTAGTATTTTTAAGTATTTTTCTATATAAAATTTTATCCCTAAAAGTATCCCCAAAAAATTTCATGCCCTAAAAAATCCCTGTATATATTTTTTCCCCCTAAATTTGGGGTGAAAACCCCGGAGTTGGCATCACTAATGGAATCTTATTGTTTGCTTAGCTCGAACATGACTAACTGTTGTAGCACAAACAAGCTCAAACAACACAAAGTAATGGATTGGCATAGTGTAATTTTGGAGAGGAAACTGATAATTCTTTGACTACACATTCGGTTCATTTTCAAAATCGCGTTAGGATGCGAATATACAAAAGGTCTTTCAAGTCGTCGCGGCTTGAAGGATAAAGACGTTTGGTGCATTCGTATCGAGCGACGCAACGGTGTTCGGATTATTACCGAATTACCAATTCATCTAATGAAATACGTAAACTTAACATGTCTTCACGAATGACTTCCAAGATCAAGGAATTTTATGGCGTAACAAAAATCAAGGTCTTGAAAATTTTTATTTGCGTAATTAATTGTGGTAACCCGTCTTGTCGAACTCACACGGGTAGATACCACTATCGTGCCCATTTCTGCCGCGAAACAGTGATTTTTTTCCGGTTTGACGGATGGGACAGCTATAGAATTGAAACATAGAACTCATAACCCAAAGTAGGTGCCGGCATTTACGTTAATGATGTCTATGAACTTCGGTAACCACTTAACACCAGATGGGCTGTAACCTTGTCCTCCAACCTACCAATAGAAAGTATATTTTTATCTCTACCTATTTCCATCTGTATCTTCTGTATATTCCCCCCTCAAATAAGCAAAAATGTTTCAGATAGTCCCCATTCGCGCGGAACCTAAACTTTTCGATAGCTACTACAATGGATGCTGTAACGGGACATTCTGGCCGTTGTTTCATTCGATGCCAGACCGTGCCACTTTCATTGCTGACCACTGGAAGGCATATATCAAGATAAACGAGGAGTTTGCTGAGAAGACAGTCCACGCTCTCCATCTGCTGAACAAACAAAAGAAAGACAAAAATGGAAGTCCACCGATCGTGTGGGTTCACGACTACCATCTGATGTTGGCGGCTAATTGGATACGACAGGTACACGATACTTAAATCTTTGTAATCATTTAAAAATATTTTGTGAGTATCGGAAGCTTTGAGTGAGAGAGAGAGAGAGAGAATACACTTTATTGCACACCAAAACACAATTTACTATTTGAATAAGTAATGATATTTTCAGAGAGCTGAAGAAGATGAGATTAAATGCAAGCTAGCATTCTTTCTGCACATACCGTTTCCACCGTGGGATATTTTTAGACTGTTCCCGTGGTCTGATGAAGTTTTGCAGGGAATTTTGGGTAAGTTTTTAATCCGTTACCTGCATTCATTCGAAAAACTAATTTAAAACTATTTTAAAATTAATTTGGTTAAAGGTTGTGATATGGTGGGATTCCACATAGAGGATTACTGTTTGAATTTCATTGACTGCTGCCAAAGAAACTTGGGTTGCCGTGTCGATAGAAAAAATCTTCTGGTCGAACTGGGAGATCGCACCATCTGCGTGAGACCGCTACCGATCGGAGTGCCATACGAGAGATTCGTACAGCTGGCCCAAAACGCTAAGCCCGTGTTCTCTACAAGCCAAAAAGTGATATTAGGTGTTGATAGACTGGATTATACCAAAGGATTAGTGCATAGGTTGAAAGCTTTCGAGAGATTACTCGAGAAACACCCGGAGCATATCGAAAAGGTTGTTCTGCTCCAGATCTCGGTGCCCTCTAGGACAGATGTGAAGGAATACCAAGATCTGAAGGAGGAGATGGATCAGCTCGTTGGCAGGATCAATGGTCGATTTACAACGCCCAATTGGTCGCCGATAAGGTAATAGGAAATTTAAAAAAAACACTTCAAATTATGAAACCTTAAATTACTAATAATCTAATCTGTAATTTTCTCTATGATTTTAGATATATTTACGGCTGCGTTGGTCAAGATGAGTTAGCGGCGTTTTATCGCGATGCTGCTGTGGCACTTGTAACTCCATTAAGAGACGGCATGAACCTGGTCGCGAAAGAGTTTGTGGCTTGTCAGATCAATAAGCCTCCTGGAGTATTAATAGTGTCGCCATTTGCTGGAGCAGGAGAAATGATGCACGAGGCTCTTATATGCAATCCTTATGAGCTCGACGATGCGGCCGAAGTCATTCATAGGTATTTAAGTACCGACCTCTCCAAAGAATCCTCATTACATATCTTTGCTGAATCTACCTTTTGACGTTTTCAATCGTTGTCAATGTTAGAAGTCCAAACTTCTTTCTGAGCTTTTCTGAGCTAGTGGTCCCGCAGTAGTCGAAATTCGACTATAATTCATTGAAATTATAAGTTTGAACATTAAAATGGTTCTATTGTTAAAGACTATTATACTTCTATAATCACAGATTTCGCCAAGACTACACTATAGATAAACAATATTAAAGATTGACAATACACAGACCTTAAGCAATAACAAAAGTTTGACAACAAAGAATGTATATGTTATTATGAGTGTGTGTCAAATACATGGTAGTGTGTGTAATGTTTTTCTTGTTTATTTAATGTATTTTTAATGTATAACTTAAAAAAAAAATTAGCATTCTGCACTCCTTCTCTATATTCTCTATAAGTGTGGAAAATTTCATACTCCTCCGTCCGCGCAATTTTTATAAAAAGGTGTACAAAGTTTTTCACGTATTAATATAATAATATATAGATAACACAACTCTACAAAAAAAATCGTTCTTTTTGTCCTAACGTTTATACTAGGTTTTTCCGGTTAATTATTGACAAAAACAAAAATAAAATACCTTTTTTGATATAAAGTTTGCTTTTGTGATAGTTATAGTGATAATACCCATTTTTCAATTTTTTTATAAATTTTAATATGTACATTCAAAAAAACCGCGCTCTGAGAGTGGGGTGTTTACGTTTACACAGTGCCACTAGATGGCACTCGATCCATAAACAACGATCAGGTGTTTTGTACAAGCCCAGAAAAACTTAAAATGTCACGAAAGTGTAAATACGATGCTGATGCATTTTGTTTCATATGTGGTCAATTTATTAAAGTTGAAAGGCAAACTGTTTCATGTCATGTATTTTTTTTTTCGTCTAATTATTGACCCGTGTAATGCTTTCCTCATCCAAAAACCCAACGTATTTCAGAGCCTTAATAATGCCAGAGGATGAACGGACAGTCCGCATGAACCACCTCAGGCGGAGGGAGCAGTTGAACGACGTGGACAGCTGGATGAAGGCGTTCCTCAAAGCGATGGACTCTCTGGAGGAAGAGGCCGACGACCTTGGAGCCACTACCATGCAACCAGTCACTATTGACGATTTCGATGAATATTTATCCAAGTATGTTGAGCATTTTCTAAGAATTTCGGGACTTGTTGTAGGGCTATGAGTGCCTGCCTATGGCTTGAAGGGACAAAAGTCAAACAATAGAATTCAAATGTCACTATTATGATGAATTATTTTGTGTAATTATTTAATCTCGTTTACATTCTCAATGCTAAAAATCATTTCACCATTCCACACTTAACGCCACTAATGGCTGATATTTCCATTTTCATATAAAAGTCGAACTGAATTATAATCTAACTTTTCTTTTTTATTTATTGCATAGATGGGTGGAGCTCACAGCTCACAGCCCTCCTGGTGTTAAGTATTTACCGGAGCCCATAGACATCTACAACGTAAATTCCGCCACCCACCTTGAGATATAAGTTCTAAGGTCCACAGTATAGTTACAACGACTGCCCCGCCCTTACAAACCGAAACGCATTTCTGCTTCATAACTGAAATAGGCAGCGTGGTGGTACTTACCCGTGCGGACTCACAAGACACAACTTAATCCTTTTTTTTTAAGCCGATCAATAGGTTTATCTTGCAATCGAAAAGCCGATCGCAATGAAGACAGACGTGAAATTATACGGCATCGGAACGTTTTCAGGTACATCGGGTACACACAGAAGCTAGCCCTGCTGTTGGACTACGACGGTACCTTGGCCCCGATCGCGCCCCACCCGGACCTCGCCACGCTGCCTCTCGAGACCAAACACACCCTGCAGAGGCTCTCCAACATGTCCGATGTGTACATAGCCATCATATCGGGGAGGAACGTGGACAACGTCAAGCAAATGGTGAGTAGAAATATGAACAATATTTTTTTCAAGTTTGGATCAATGTTGGATCAATATTTGGATTAATGTGGTTTGGTCCAATGTTTGGACTCTCAACATCCTTTAAGGTAATTGAACTAGCCAAACTTTTGAATGTATGTAGTAGCAGTCTTCATATCGGGAAGGAACGTTAACAACCTCAGGCAAATGGTGAGTACAAATATGAACAATATTATTTTTAATTTGGATCAATGTTGGATCAATTACGTTTAGTCCAATGTTTGGACTGTCAACACCGTTTAAGGTAATTGAACTAGCCAAACTTTTGAATGTGGTAGCAGTTACGCGTGTTGTTTTGAAGCATAGGAAGGATATTTACAATATAGGCTTCTGTGGTATCTGAACATCGTAGGTGGATGGCGGAATTAACGTCTTGATGCCCTTGGGCTTCGGCAATCACTTAGGAGCGACAGTGATCACTCACCTACTGTTGCGTGACAGGATCTCTGTCTACAAAAGCAATAAAATATATGGGACACGCAATCAACAGCACTAACGTACATAAACGAGGACGGCCGACCTCAAGAATCGGGTCAAGGCAAAGAAGAGGCGCGAAAAATAAGCGCCAATGATAAAAACGCGCTCAAGTTATCGTTAGATACATTTGTACATAATATTATTACTATCTCAAGCTAATTCTATGACGTCGCGTGACGAATTCGCAACCAGTATCTTTATTATAACTTTTTTTTTTGATCATGTCTGTTTTGATTACGAACAGAATTATAAAAATAATTCAAACTTTAAAATTAATATCAAATCTCGTATAAAAATATCAAAGGGTCAAAGGTTATTTGATTTAAGCGGCATTTCGACTAATACGCGGAATTTATTTTTGCAATTAAAGGTCTGTTTAATTTGGTATTAGCATCAACAATTCGATGTTTTTAATCGAACTTCAATTATGTTTATACCTATCGATATATATACCTTTATAAATTTTAGTTTATATTCTTTAGAAATCATATAATATTGCATGGAAATATCTTACTTAACATGTATGGATAGCATACAACAAAATGATTCTTTACAACAAATATTACTGAAAAAAATAGTCCAGCAACCTATTTTTTACTTTGTTAACTTTTGTAAGTCCTAAGCCTGATATTTTCTGTATAAATAAAATTTAATTGTAATTGTAATCAAACTATTTAATTTTACTGTCAGCAAAATAGTTGTGACTCCCGGATTGTACCTACATCTATATCATCGATGTGGTAATATATCGATGTTTTTACCGTTCAAATTGCTAAAGCTTTTTTTTTCATGATATTCTTTCCAAAATTCAAACTTTAAATATCTCTCCTGGGAAGCTGCAAAAATGTCCCTTAAGCGAAATAGTCTTTCACTCCTCGATATTATGTCCCTGCCTATTTCTGCCGTGAAGCAGTAATGCGTTTCGGTTTGAAGGGTGGGGCAGCCGTTGTAACTATACTTGAGACCTTAGAACTTATATCTCAAGGTGGGTGGCGCATTTACGTTGTGGATGTCTATGGGCTCCAGTAACCACTTAACACCAGGTGGGCTGTGAGCTCGTCCACCCATCTAAGCAATAAAAAAAAANATATTATGTCCCTGCCTATTTCTGCCGTGAAGCAGTAATGCGTTTCGGTTTGAAGGGTGGGGCAGCCGTTGTAACTATACTTGAGACCTTAGAACTTATATCTCAAGGTGGGTGGCGCATTTACGTTGTGGATGTCTATGGGCTCCAGTAACCACTTAACACCAGGTGGGCTGTGAGCTCGTCCACCCATCTAAGCAATAAAAAAAAATTATGTACTTTTAACGCGCTATTTCGATATTTTTTAATAATTCCGAAACGTGGTACATCATCGTATTCATACGAACGGTACTGGGTCGTTTTCAATTTTGCGGCCAAAGCCAAAGTAACGATTTCATGAATTTAAACTTGCTCTAATTTTCAATTTTTTTGTATTTAGGCGTGTTCAGAATAAAAAATGCTTCATCACAATCAAGTCAATCACTCATTTATTGATAATATTATATAATATTAATTTATATTTTTCATTTTACGCAATTGCAATTTAAATAGGAACTTTTTTAAAAAGCTTAGAAATCGTACTTCTTTTGTTTTTAATAATGTTCTAACTTCTAGTTAGTATTCCTTTATTATTGTTATTATTATATACTGATTAAATAAAATTGCCGAATTTCAACATGCATTACTGGAAAAATTCAAACAAGTTAGAATTTGAATTTCGAACCAGTGATACGAATGAGATTTGGGGTAGTTTTTAATGTATAACTCCTAATTGGGGGTTATCTGTGCTCCTAATTTAACAGTGTTTACGAATACATATATAGTTATAGGATCACGTGCCTGTTGTCATGAAAACAAATTTACTGTACTTATAATATAATTACGGTAACATTGAGGTTATGAGAATTAAATCAAATAACTCGCTTTTGACCCCAAAGGGGATTGCCCACTCTCCATAGTGTGCTAGGCCCAAGATGGACATCAAATATTACTATAAAAATGTACTGATTCAAATTCTTAAATGTATTGGATATCTCAAAAAATATATTGAAATTGACGCCACTATTATAAAAAATATAATAAAAATAAAAACTCGTTTTGAGGTTAATTTTCTATATAAATAAGTGTAGGATTGTGAGATACTTCAAGAACTTTTCTTTTCTTAATGTTTAAGATGTTCCTAATGTATTTTTATCCAATAGGGTACAAAAACACACTTAATTCTTTAAATATCTATATTTTCTTCATCTTCATACACAATTAGTATCATCTAAAAATAGCAAAGGAGTGCATATACACGGTTTTAAATCTCGGTCAGGGTAAAACCACAATTCACACAATGTTTTTTAGTCGTAGTATGAAACGTTATTGATAAAAGTAAAATAAATCGACGAAAAATCAAAACACATCCATTTTGTACGCAAGCACAACACCACAAGCAGCAAGCGAAGTATCAGTCAGTCAGATTAAATTCAGTGTTGTCAGTATAAAGAAAAATAATTACATGAAATTCATATATCGATTATTTTTTTAAATAACCGATAATTGATTTATATCTTAATCTTTTTTTTACGAGTACACATTATTTTTTATGTTTTTGTTTTAGTTGTACATATTTAAATAACAATACTAGTAAAGTTTTTTTTATTGCTTAGATGGGTGGGCGAGCTCACAGCCACCCTGGTGTTGCTAAGTGGTTACTCGAGCCCACATACATCTACAACGTAAATGCGCCACCCACCTTGAGATATAAGTTCTAAGGTCTCAAGTATAGTTACAAGTTAAAGTCCAATGGGTATGTCTTCGATGTTATTTTATGTGCATAAAATTCATTAAAATCGTTTGATTAATGATAATACTTAAAATGATTTATTTATATGTTTTATTTATATACTCAAAATATTTACTTCATACGTAAAAGGATTTGAAGCTGGCAATATTTTTCCCGCAAAAATAAAAATCCTTGTTTTTTCAATAGAATTACTTTTTTTAAACTACTTATTGTAAACTATAGTGGCGCTTATTTGCAAGAAAGTAAATGCATATTTATTTATGACAAAATTAATGCACTAAGTATTTTTTCTATAATCTATTGTCCGCTTTGGGCCTAAAATGGGCCATCCCCTTTGAAAACGACCCTACTATGATAATGTTTCGCGAAATAAGCAGCTGTATACTCATACAGTATGTAATACAGTCAGTATGTAGATATGTATACGAAGAAACGTCAGAAAGTTAATTTCTTACGGTTTTCAACAATAAAAGATATTAAAAGGTCATGTCGGTCAGGTTGAATAATTCGCAATCTCCCGCACGCGTTACATACTGTACTTACGTCAATATTTGGCAAAAATATCGGCAATTTATATTTCACGATAAACATCACGTTATTCCATTGAATTATTATTGATATAATAATACGAGGCGTGAACTAGTTTCAAGTGCGGTTTTTCTTTTTTTTTGAAATTTTTACATGAATTATTTGTTCAGTTGGAAAACAAAAAAAATCGTTTATACAATATGTTACTTTTATAAAGCTACTAGCAGCCCGCTCCGGCTCCGCTCGGGTCTTTATCAAAAATTTCAACGGTATTTGATGTCGTTTAATTTTTTTTCAATAAAAGAACACTTATTGCGGCATAACTATAATAGTTAGACATATGCTGTCCCGACACTTTTTGTAAATAATAATGTGTTCTATAAAGTCGTAGTAAATTATTTTATTCTATCATCAATAGTTTTCGCAGGGCACGCGATGTAAAGAATATTTTAGGTAATTTTTTGACACCTTGGCTTACATTATTGGAGTTTTAGTAAGGATTGCTATTTTTTTTCAAAAAAGATTATATCCTATGTCACTCGGGAATAGCTTAGCTTCCAAACAGTGAAAGAATTTTTCAAATCGGTTCAGTAGTTTCGGAGCCTATTCAATACAAACAAACAAACAAATCTTTCCTCTTTATAATATTAGTATAGATTACAAGACACAAATATAGTTCCGTCGTCGTCATTATGTACAAACAAGTAAATTGTAAATTGTATGAACTCATTATAGTTATAATGAATTGTATAATGTAGTTGCAATCAATGATTTGTTATTCAAGACACATAAGTTATGAGTGTGATACAGACCAGAAATTTAAGGCAAACATCGTGTTATTCTAATCTAGGTCAATTGAAATCTAAGATCTTAACATATGTCATGGAATTCAGTAAATTATATAAAGCGCGTTTATAATATAAAAGACAGGAATAGTAATAAAATACATCGACAACAATAAATCAAACTTCAAACACCTTGTTCAAGGGGCGTTCTTTTAGATCGAAAATTTTCTTAAAACATTTGAATCGCGACGGAAAACTTGATAAAAACTTTCTAGTGTAAAAAAAAAGAAGAAAAACGGGTGGCACGATAAAAATGTTTTGTCTTTGCTTATTTATATTATACATTGATAAAGGTATACTTACTACACATGGTATATAGATTTGGAACAATCATTCCGATCCGTTATTAGATCTGGTGGACATCATAGATAATACATCATACTTAATAAAATGTGGACAGTTCGGTTTAGTCTATACGGAAATTTGACTGTATTTAAGCAATACTAAATCCTTTTTTTTTAATTGACAATGCATTGAAATAATATTAATACACAACTACTGAAAATACACAAACTGATTACAGGAAAGTTTCTAGAAATATCGTTTTGATTCTAAACTTTAATTGTTGCTTGAATTACGTCAATACTGATGACATATCGACCTCATATCTCAAGGTGAGTAGGCCGTGAGCTCGTTTGCCCATACTTAAAGATATAGATCAGAGAATATAAAGCAAAAGGCCCATATAACGTTAAAAATGAGTTCCATACTCACTCAATAGTTTACCCGAGTACATAAGACGTGTGAGCCTATACTTGCTAAATTTAAAAGTTTATTAAAAAAACACTTGTCAAATACGTTGTAACCATTTACGTAAATTAATTGTATTAATATAACCTAATTTAATAATTTATAAGCTAAAGCGAGTTACCTGCAGTCAAACTGCGTAAGCAGAAGCAGTTTTGCGGGGCATGGTTTAAATGAAAGTGTAAGTTTTCTGAATAAATATATACATACATACAATACATACATACATACAATGAATAGGTTTATTTTATCAAAAATTTGGAACAACAAGTCGGTATGCGTTTTGTTAAGATAATACATACAGACAGTCAGAGTTCATCACAGTACATTTGATAGTGCGGCCTGTTGCAAACGAAACTGTATCACACTAGATAATTGCAAGATTCTTCTTGGAATTCGATATTTATTTATGTTCATTATAAGTAATTTATTACGTCAATTTTATCTTGGTAACGTTAAAGTTCATGATATTGTTGTTTAGTCCAACTATATACCTATGTATATCACAAATCAGTCGATATGTGTATCTGTGTTCCTTAAAAACTCCGAAACGGCTAGACCGATCTTCAGATTCGCTTAGCTTAAGTTTGGTAGCGATGGGATTAAAGTCAAATCAAATATCAGCCAAAAAACCGGCCCGGATTTGGTTAATACTTTATACAAGTTCCCTTGATTGTATGCAAAAAGCAGCAATTTTATTTCAAACTAGCGGCCCGCACCGGCTCCGCTCGGGTGTTTAACAAAAATTTCGACGATATTTGACGTTGTTGTTAAAATAAAAGAACACTTATTGCGGCATAATTAAAATAGTTAGACATGTTAGTGTCGCGACACTTTTTGTAAATAATAATGTGTTCTACAAAGTCGTAGTACATTATTTTATTCTATCATCAATAGTTTTCGCAGGGCAGGCGACATAAAGAATATTTTAGGTATTTTTTTTACACCTTGGGTTACATTATTGGAGTTTTAGAGAGGATCCCTAATTTTTTTCAAAACAGATTATATCCTGTGTCACTCGGAAATGGTGTAGCTTCCAAACAGTGAAAGAATATTTCTAATCGGTTCAGTAGTTTCGGAGCCTATTCAATATAAACAAACAAACAAATCTTTCCTCTTTATAATATTAGTATAGATTTTCAATTTGGTCGTTAAGAAGCCATGCACATGGTATTGACCTAAGTTATTGATAAATAATAAAACAACATTTTAAAACTTCTCTTACATGTCGGTAAAAGTTGCGAAAAAAAAAATTTACTTCACGACAGTAAAACAACATGAGAAGCTTCTGATAATGTTTTTAAATCCAAACTGCAGGCAGCGGCTTGGCTCTGCTCCTGGCATTGCTGACTTCTATGAGCGACGGTAACCACTCACCACTCATGTGCTCGTCTGCCTACAAAGGCAATAAAAAAATATATAAATATATAGAAGTTGTCGTGGCCTAAAGGATAAAGACGTGCATTTGTGTTGAGCGATGCACCGGTATTCGAATCCCAGGCGGGTATCAATTTTTTCAATGAAATACGTACTCAACAAATGTTCACGATTGACTTCCACGTTGAAGGAATAACATCGTGTAATAAAAATCAAACCCGCAAAATTATAATTTGCGTAATTACTGATGGTAGAACCTCTTGTGAGTCCGCGCTGCTAGGTACCACCACCCTGCCTATTTCTGCCGTGAAGCAGTAATGCGTTTCGGTTTGAAGGACGGGGCAGCCGTTGTAACCACGGAATAGATAAATGAGTCGACTATTATCAAAGCCGGCAATATGACTTTTGGACAATTATTGGTAAATCAGAAAAACGAATTATTGACTTTGTATTCCATTGGCAGTCACAAAACTCTTCTGAACGACATCTTAGATAAATAACAGGTTAAGTATTAACCTTTATTTCATGCAGGTTTTGAACCGTATTCTTTGAAGGAGACGATTATATTCAAATCAATCTGTATTGACATATCAATAACNTTTGTATTCCATTGGCAGTCACAAAACTCTTCTGAACGACATCTTAGATAAATAACAGGTTAAGTATTAACCTTTATTTCATGCAGGTTTTGAACCGTATTCTTTGAAGGAGACGATTATATTCAAATCAATCTGTATTGACATATCAATAACATTTTTTTGTCCAAATGCACAGATTGCCACCTTTGATAATAGACGACTCAAATAAGGTAACCTTATTTATCTATTCCGTGGTTGTAACTATACTGAGACCTGAGAACTGATATCTCAAGGTGGGTGGCGCATTTACGCAAGTACGTAAGTGCAGACGAACGGTCGGGAAAAAGGTTTGGAGAGTTTTTTGATGTTTCGGAATAATATGTACCTTGGTCTTAAATTAAGACGGCTTTTCCAATTACTTCTTCGTGTACATTGCAACGTAAATACCGATATATGTATAAAATAGATAGCTTTAACTTTTATTAATGTAGGTTTTAAATAGTACATTTAATTTAATTATAATTATTCATATTGTTTACAGGTCGGTATCGAAGGCATCACGTATGCGGGTAACCACGGTCTGGAGATCTTACATCCTGACGGCAGCAAGTTTGTCCATCCAATGCCGATGGAGCTGCAAGACAAGGTCGTTGACCTGCTCAAATCACTGCAGGAGCAGGTAATGAGATTTTTTTGTTTTTTTTTTCACTTCGTTTCATAACCGTTTCAAAATCCCGCCATATTCCATATTCCACCATTCCAATACTTTTGAAACAAATATTATCTATGTTAATTTTTTTGTTTTGACAGTAATAAAGGCGGTATGGTAGTTATAGATCGCGGGTTTTGTGCCCGAACATCTATAATATTTATGTTAAAAATTGTGTATTTGTTTAATGTTTCTTCAGGTTTAAACCTCTAATAATGATGGTTTACTAACTGCTTAGCATCTGTAATAGTAAAAAAAGCGGTGGACGCTGCTTCTCGGGTTCTTTCAAATAGTCTTAGTAGATAACCACCATTTTACTGAGACTTTACCTCATTCCGTTTCATTTCATTTCATCACAATTGATTAAGGTCTCGAATAAATCAATTTCATCTCATTTCGCAACGTTTTTGTTATGTATGTAAGATGTATTATAAAATTGGAGATTATTATAAATGTGACACTGGCAACAACGGCAACGCAAGAAGTCAATTGCCATAATTCAAGAAATAACAATAAACCCTTTTTTTATCCAGGACCAGGAAAGTCTCAGTTTAGTTACAACGGCTGCAGCATCCTTCAAACCGAAACGCATTACTGCTTCACGGCAGAAATAGGCAGGGCGGTGGTACCTACCCGTGCGGACTCACAAGAGGTCCTACATCCAGTAAATGTTTTAAATAGACATTTCAATAAGTTTCCCGTCTATTCTCTACTAAGGTATGCAAAGACGGAGCTTGGGTTGAGAACAAAGGAGCGTTGCTAACGTTCCACTACCGCGAGACTCCCGTGCCGAAGCGGGCCGCGCTGGCCGAGCAGGCCCGCAAGCTCATCACGGCCTCGGGCTTCACCCCGGCGCCGGCGCACTGCGCGCTGGAGGCGCGGCCCCCGGTGCAATGGGACAAAGGTGAGTGCCACAACGGGAGCCACAATTAGATGCTCTGTTCAATACTTTGGGTCCCGAAGTTGATCAAAATCTCAGGCTGCCCTCTTGACCACGCATGCTGCGCGCTGGACGCCCGGCCGCCGGTGCATTGGGACAAAGGTAAATTATACAATTTTAATGCAATAGACCAAGCCTTAGTCAGTAACGCCTCTAACATTCTGAGTATCGATCGACGATGATCACTTAAAAGCGATGTGAGCATGAGCCGTCAATGAAAAAAGAAAAAAAAATTTGAGAATCTATGGTTTTTTTGTTGTCTAACAGGACGAGCTTCGATCTACATCTTGAGGACAGCATTCGGTTTGGACTGGAGCGAAAGGATCAGGATCATATACGCCGGTGACGACAACACCGACGAAGACGCTATGCTGGTTAGCATCTTATTCTTCAAATTAGTTATTTTATTTAATGGGTAAAGCCATACTGAACATAATAGACATCAGAATGTGAAACCTACCATAATAGATGTTGTCTCAACTGCAAAGTGGCTATCCCACCCTTCAAATCGGAATTCATGACTACTTCATCGCAGGAATAGGTTGGTACCTAGTCATTCGGGCTTCCAATATCCCCTACCACCAGTATTCATCAATTTCGCGGTCTCGAAGGCGAGTGAGATCCGCGCGAGGATATCCGGTGCCCAATACAGACCTCATATCTCATGTCAGTCAAAACTCGTCTCTAGTCAGTCAAGACCTTATATCTCATGATGTATAGCGGCGGCACTCGCATTCTGATGTTGTGGTACCGTGAGCCCGTCCTCCCTAGTATAGCAGTTGTAATGTGGTTGCGACATCCCCATAGATAGACACAGCCCAATGAGTTTCTCGCCGGATCTTCTCAGTGGGTCGCGTTTCGGATCCGGTCGTAGATTCTGCGAAGCACCAGCTCTTGCTAGGGTCAGTGTTAGCATCACTCTACTAGTTAAGGTTACGCTGAAATAGCCTCTCAAGGCTGTCAGCTCAAGGAAAAAAAAAGCGATATTATTAAACTTTTCAATAGGCCACTGGCTTTCACTCGCGCTCGCTTCCTCCAGAACATATTTCATGTTAGTTCTCATAAACTTACAGGCTTTAAAAGGTATGGCTGCCACCTTCCGCATCGTATCATCGAACATCATAAAAACGTCGGCAGAACGACGTTTGTCCTCCACCGACTCTGTACTGGCGATGCTGAAGTGGGTCGAACGCCACTTCTCGAGACGCAAGCCCAGAGCGAATTCACTAACGTACAAGAACGCCAGGAAGGCCAGGGATACAATACAGATGCATATGTCATATCAAATGCCTTCGAAGACATCGCCCAGACACTCTCCCCCACATACTCCGGACAAAGGCTCAAGCGGCTCGGACTCGAGCTAAGAACTAAGCAACAATTCCAACTTATTCAATTAAAACGCCCCATGGTTTTTTTTACACTCAAATTTTACTGGTTGTAGGACGTCTGGTGAGTCCGCACGGGTAGGTACCACCGCCCTGCATATTTCTGCCGTGAAGCAGTAATGCGTTTCGGTTTAAAGGGCGGGGCAGCCGGTGTGACTATACTGAGACCTTAGATGACGCATTTACGTTGTAGATGTCTATGAGCTCCAGTAACCACATAACACCAGGTGGGCTGTGAGCTCGTCCACCCATCAAAGCAATTAACAAAAATTAGATCATTCGTCCCTTTCTAACACGTTCTGTTAGTCAATAAGTGACCAAGACAAAATCATGGCGTTTTATCTACGATGGGTTGTAGATTTTAGACCAAAACGACAGATTAAACTTTTCGTATATAATATTTTAATATAGAAAATATTAAAGTTTTATTAAACACCAGACGAATTGATAGTTGAACGGTGTTACCAGAAAAAAAAAATACTCAAGTTTTTTTTTTTTTAATTATTTACTATAGTATGTGTACTAAAAGCCGTTCGTAAACATGTTACATCATTTTAATATATCTATTTGTTCATACAAAATCATTCCAGTATGTACTAAAAAAATATATATTTAAAGATCTAACTGTAATCAAATTTAACGTAGTGAGTAATAATATATTGAAATAGTTCCTAATAAAAAGAGGTCATATCAAAAATATTTTGACTGTTTCTTCCATTAAATTTCACGTAAGAATACATTCCTGACTGCTTTTATTGATGTAGACAATATTCGAAAAATGTAAAGTTTTTAATGTCGCTGTGTCATGATGTTGTAAAATGTATATTAATTAAACTGTGTTATTTATGTGATAGCGTAATGATGTATAACTTATAAGTATGCATTGCGATTTTTAAAATATTCGATGTAATAGTGCATTCAAATCTAGCAATTATGAAGTTAGATGCTTTTGCACAAGTTTTGACTAGCGTTCATATTGTCTCTGCGTGTTCTGGAGTCGAAATAATCTGTGGAACGCGGATATATTCAACATAAAAAAAAGCGCGCAAGATAAGTCTGCGCGCGACTGGTGGCGTGCATAATGTTGCCAGCTTGACTAATATTTATTCCTTCATTTAGTGAAGTGATGTCTAATTTTATAAACCAAAATAATTGAAATTTATCAGCAAAATAACTGTATTTTATATTAGTTATATATAGTTATATAATTAATATATAATATATAGTTAGTAGATATTAGTGCATCAACTGTGATGCACTAAGTTATTTCGATTAGGATATAATATAAAAAAGGAAATTAAAAAGCAATAAGAAACTTGTAAGTCGTTTCTTTAATATCTTGTAGTATTTTTAAATTTGACAGGAATGCTCCTGCAGTAGGTCAATGCCTTCGATTCGGAATTTTTCATCAGAAGCCACACTACTTGACACGTCTTAAAACTATTGCCCGTAATCTTTAAGGTGCTTATTATTAAAGATGTTTTGCCATATTTAAAATCAATATCAGCTTTTGATTCAAACCAAAGTTTGTTTATTGTAGGGATTTTACGATATAAAACAAATCTATTTTAAGTCTTAACAGAGCTCTTATCAAAATCATCTAAATCAGCAATCTTTTCCTTCCTATTTCTTGTTTTTCCTGGAGTCACATTTTTGAAAATGGAGCTGCTGCTACATTACTCTCTCGAGTGATTTGGGTAACGGTGTGTTACGGGAAATGCTTAAAACAAAATAATGCATCACATTATTTTAATATGGAATGAAAAGAATGAAGAGAAAAGAAGAAGAACAAAGAAATCGAGAATAATATGGGAATTTTAATGCATTGGTAGCCCCCAAAATTACCTTATACGATAACATAGGCCCATTATTGTCTCGTTCTTCTTCACAAGCACGTTTAAGCCGCACAATGTCCCCGCCAGCCCTTTAAATCGCTTTCGGCATTTGCTAGCTGTTATTTACTTAGAAAATTAATAAAAACACGGCGCACAAAAATAGCGACACAAGATTAGTTCCGATTTTGGCCGCGCTAAGACTTATCTTGCGCGCACTATGCATCACAACAACAGAATGTTAAACATAGTTTAAATATATATCCATAGATAATACACTCTAATATTTGACCTACCTACATACATGTAGTTCTAACGCTTGCGTTTGAGCGTTATAGACAACTTAACTATATAGAACGGTAAAAAGAAAAGTGCATTGTCAATTATCAGTTTAACCGTCATATTTTTTCAAATCAAGATTTACAGTAGAAATATTTTTAATGACGATTTTTTGGACTATAAAACTTCAGCTTTTTTTTTGAATAACATATCTGTTTTGAACTAGAATGCTAACAGTGGATAATTGATACATAAATAATAAATATAATATTTCGACAATTATAAGAATCCTACAATCATACTTACTAATAATAAGTCAAAGTGTGTTTGTTTGTTTGTCTTTTTTTCATATTGAAACGAAGCAACGGATTGAAAAGTTCTTTATAAACTATTAATTTTAGGCCAGAGCCGTGACATAAGTTTTTTCCTAATTTATTACTAAAAAAGTCAAACGCACGGGAATTACACTGACAATTTTCTTTGACCACGCGAGCGAAGCCGCGGATGACAGCTAGTAGTATAATTAGTATAGGTATTAACGAATGTGAATAATTTAACCTGCGTTTGTTATGAATATACGTGCAATTACATTAAAACGAAAATAATTAAAAAAAAACACGTGCGGCACTCGGGAACTGCCGCGGTAAAGCTATTGCATAGCATTTTTATCAACTTATGCAATTATAATTTAACAATAATAATTTAATATTAAAACAATAATAAAATAAGATATATAAGATAGAAACTATATAATAAGATATATAACTATATTTATAAACATTAACTGTCCCCTTCACACTCATAAGATAGACCGCGCGAGATAGAGACAGGCAAACTTTTCACGATGCGCATGCAGTGCGACGTCACGCGGCGCGTTTGTTCACAAACACTACACAAGCGCAACGTGTGAATGTGTTGAACGCGAGCTACATGGTAGGCGGAGTGGGGGTGTTAGGTTTTATTTTCGTTACGGAATTTCTTGATACAGTCTACACGCTCAAAACCCGCGATAAAAGTTATGCAATAGCCTAAAAATGCTTCGATAATCATCATCTTTAGGAAACAATATATAACCTACCGTCATAGAAGATTGACATATTTGATCAAACATTTTAATATGAATGACTGTATTGTAATAAATGTGATTTCTAATTGTAAGTGTGTGCTAGTCCAAATCGGTGTACCTGTAAACGAAAGCACTGACCATTTCGAATTACATGCAACTTTGTATTTTTAGATGATATTGTATTTGTATGTTTTGTGGTAATTAAAACGTAGTAATGAAACAAAACACCGTTCTTTGATTCACTAAAATATATTATTATTATTATTATTATTATGTATTTACAAAAACGCTTTTTTATTTATTTATTTTAAATGTATTCATAGGAATGTTTTGTTGTGCCTCAAATTTCAGGGTTTTTTTTTTAAATCAGTACAAAAAAAACAGTCAACTCAAGAAGACCATTCTTAATACTTGTTACAAATACATAATATTATAAACTCGTTTGATAGCTGTATAATATAACAATAAAGTTAATTTACTTAATTTAATGAAAATTATTAACAATATAATATTTAATTCATATCACAATGAAACAGCTCGTATTTCTAAACGTTACTGTGCGATACTACCAACCACGATAGTATGAAATAGAACAAGCATATTGGATACACTGCTAACGCCTTCTTCCCTTCAGGTTGACTGTCACCAAGGAATTTTGTTGCCGCTGCAAAAAAATAATCAAAAATAGTGATAAGTTTAGTTGTTAAACTGCATGTTTAAATAGGTACCAAATTCCACCACATGATTTCATTTACATGATGTTATAGTAGAATTATTTTATCCGTGCAGTTTGGGTCATAAAAAATCGGAGCGGTGAAGCGAGTATTTCGCTCTCTCTTCCACTCATGAGCCTTATGGACGGGCATAGTGATGCGCATTATTGTTGTCGATAAGCGTTATCGATAGTGTATTTAGTTTTGTCATTTTGTGGGTTAGTGATAAAAATGAAAGAAAAAATCACTAATCGAACACTTACACCACATATCGCCGCAGCAAGTTAACGAGAATGGCAGAAATTAACAATTGGTAATTTCTCGGGATCTATTCTTATTTCAGTGAAAATTTTGAACACATTGTTGATAACAACACGTGCAAATATTATTTTGAATAAATTCTGCCGTTTTGATACAAAACAAAGGAGTAACCATTGTGTCCCTAAAGAAATTCAGAGAATGAATGCATAAAAACACATTTCTCTTCGACATAATGTACTATAATTTGCAGGTAAGTACAAATGACTTCGAAGATAACAATGTCTCACCACCCTTCGTATACCACCCCGCCGCCGTGTACCTGCCTTCGATGACTCATTTGTTTTTACTGATAATGGCGTTGCGCCCGCGCAACATGCTCACCGCCCTAGCTGGGCTATGTTTTATGACCCAAACTGCACGGACAAAATAATTATTCTACTATAGTAATTAATTGTGTTGTGACTTTTTGGCGGGAACGCGAGAAGTGACGTTGTGTGATTTGTTTTATTTTGTCTATTTAGTGTTTCTTCGAGGTTAAATGCGTAATAACGGAGGTTTATTAACTATTTAGTATCTGTGAAAGTGCACAAACGTGGGTAAATGAAACAAAACCGCTGAACGTAACTTCTCGGGATCCTCCAAAAAGTCCACTGAAAAAGTCTCAATAAATGACCATCATTTTACTGAGATTATATTTCATCCTATATCGTCTGACCTCTTTCGTTTCGTTTTCATTTCATTTAATGCCATGTTTCATATTAGTCAACTTCATTTCATAATATCATTTTTCATATAATTCTTTTTTCTTTAAAATTAAAATAAAACTGGACCTAAAGGTCTTAGTTACCAGGCCATAAACCTTTAAAATTAAAATAATTAATTGTAAACGTTTTTTTTTGTATGAACACGCATTACGGAACGGTTTGGGAGATTTTAGCTCCGGCATAATAGCTCAATACAATAACGTTTTCCGTTACACAAGGTCGACTTCCTATAGCTTAAGATGATCGAGCGATTTGACTGTGCGGATGTTCGAATTCCGCCGAGGTTACAAATTTTTCTAATGAAAAACGTACTTAACGCAACCTCAATAATGACTTCGAATTACTGCAGTGAGGCGTTGTTTGAACAGTAGTGGTACGACAGTTGACATATCGCACATACGGTGCTATAAAGTCACTTATTAATATGCAGTTTTTGTAACACTGAACTGAATATGAGAAAATACATTTTTTAATAATTATTAGTGAGACGAGAGAGTTGTTTGCTTTTGAAGTTTTGTAATTTAAATATTATAATTTTATTTCTTCATGTAAAATTTACATTGGCGGACTTAATGGCCTAAGGCATTCTATACTAGTCAACCACAGGTAGTACAGAGTAAATAGTGGTAGATGCAATGAAATGTATATTAAATTATAAATACATACATATTATAATAGTTTATACAGTATTCAAAGGAATATATAAATAAATTTACATAACAAATAACTAAATTCATTCTTCGAACCGATTCATGAACATTTCCAGACAGTATTTAGTGCGTTTTATTCACTAAACAAACGTAATTACATTTTCGAACTTACCGAAAGTAGCCCAAATGAATCCTATCATGGATATGACTAGCCTCAGGAAGAATAGGAAGGTGTTCTGCGTACTGAACAGTATGATGCGGCAGATGATGAGCGCGAGGGCCACCGGGAACAAACAGTAGCCGAGAACGCACACCGATTGGAAGAATGAACTGAAAATACAATTATTATTTACAACTAGCTGACCAGGCAGACTTCGTAGTGCCTCAATCGATAAATAAAAGACCTAAACTTTTGTATAAAATAAACTTAAAACAAACAAAAGGAATCCGCCCGACGGGGACCACATCAAAGGGAAAACAAAATTGTTATTTTTATTTAATTCCGAGCATTTTCATATTTATTCACCTTTTAAACCTTCTCTGGACTTCCACAAATAATTCAAGACCAAAATTAGCCAAATCGGTCCAGCCGTTATCGAGTTTTAGCGAAACTAACGAACAGCAATTCATTTTTATATATACCTAGTTTGACCATAAATACTGTTACAATTAAAAATAAACAAAATATTACATTTGAATTTGGAATCTGTTATTTTTATATGATTGCTCATTGAGTTTTCTCATTTTGGCGCCAATACATTGTACAATATTTTGCGATATTAAAATGGAGTGGGGTGATAAAGAGAATCGAATCGCTGTGATTGCAGTGTACAATTGAATCGCAGTGTACAAATTCATGACAACATTACACAATTCTATACATTTTTTTGTTGTTGAAGCGTTAGCAGATGAAGATAGGTATATTATAATATAAATCATTTTCCCAGAAGACGTCCTGTCCGAGCGTAGATAGTAGGTAGGGATGCCCTTTGGGCTACAAGAGATTAGGTAGGTTAAAAAAACTAAGACGTAGTTGTATAGTAAACAGTTTTATTTTTACCCCATAATTATCATAAAAGTAATTCCCGTGGGTTACCTTAGAAATCGTATTTGTAAATATCGCGACAAACTAAACAGTGGCTTGTCGCACAATGTGTCGCGACACAATATTTGAGAGCCGCTGGTTTAGATCAGAAAACTAGCTCATGACCAACAGTTGTGGTCAACAGTTATTAAAGCCCACAGACATCAAAACGTCACTCACATGAGACGTGAACCAAAACTTAATTTAAAATTGCTAGGGAAACCTAAATTAAGCTCAAATTGGGTCAATAATCATGATTTATGTTTAGCAACTGTATTTTTATACAGTATTGGCATTCTCCAATGTCAGCACTATAATAATATACATATAATACTAAATCAAATCATTTTATATTCTATTTCTATTCAATTCTATTGATTTAACTAGATCAATAACTAATTAATGTTATAAACTCACATGTTTCCACCCAGCAGTTTAGAGTTGATAGTTACAACTGCAGCCCCTATCCAAACTATCACAAACACTTCAGCAAACTCTGGTCCTCCGTCGTTGGAGTTATCAGCTCTTTCTGCAGAGCCCTGGAGGATAGTGGCCATAAGAGTGCAAAGGAGTAGCGGCCCCCACAGGTCCCCTAGAAATTATAAGTACATATATATCGACGCTTGAAAGGCAAACGTGACTAAGCGTCAATGCGTGCGACTTTACAGTAGACTAATTTAAAGTTGAAATACCTGAAAAAAATTATATTTTAACGAATGTAGGCTGTAGGATTGAAATGATTTTAATAGACCTAGAAATATATATTTTTTGCGCATCGAATATGGTTATTGCCTATCATTTATGTATAAAGCAATTATTGTCGCTTAGTCACGTTTGCCTTTCAAGCGTCAATATGTTTAATAATTAAAATAATTACGGTTGAATATAATTTGATAACGTCAGTTGTACGTGCATTATAAATCCACTGTTATAGCTGAAGATAGGTGAAAGACTTCTCATTAAGAAATCACGAATCGATTAGATAAAGTAAATAAAAAACGAAACAGAACACGAATATTAAGAAAAGTATTAAGACACACATAATTTTCTAAAAAAAACACAAAAACACTCCAAATTTTATGTCTGTGAAAAGAAATAAAAAGAGTATCTGAATCGCTATCATGACATTGAGGAATAAAATAAGCATCCATTTAGTACACACGATTTATCAATATGACAGTTAACCATATCTCATATCTACATGTTTTAAAAAAAACTTAAAAGGTTTTTAATGTATTATAATACTAACCTTATCAAAAACACATCAACACTACATTTTTTTTATATTATTACTAGCGACCCGCCCTCGCTTCGCTTCGGAAACTGTAATTTATTATTGATTCCTCCACTATTTAATGGATGTTATTATACATATAAACCTTCCTCTTCAATCACTCTATCTATTAAAAAAAACCGCCGCGTAGTTTTAAAGATTTAAGCATACATAGGAATATAGGGACAGAGAAAGCGACTTTGTTTTATACTATGTAGTGATAGTGAAGTAGGTAAAACTTACATTCTTTTAAAAGACTAGTCTTTTCTCTCGGAATGAGGACATGGTAGAATTTGTTTCCGACTGCTCTGAGGTCTCGCATCTGTTAACAAAGGGACTACATTATTTTGCTGATTGATACATAACGAGATAAGTCCGAAGGCGCAGAGTGGACAGACTTTCCTAGCGAACTGGAGAACCTACAGTGTGCTTAGTGCGAGTTTTTTAACATTCTCGATAGCGTAAAAGTTACCTCATATTTGTATGGAATGGGATCGTTTGCCTACGTTTGCCGCTAGGGACGCTGTTCCAACTGCATATAAAATTGGCTTAACTTTGGCACTATCGAAAACGTTAAAAAACTCGCACTAAGCACACTGAATACGGGTAACGCAGGCCAAGCCTTTGGGGCCAAAACTTTGAAGACAACTACACTGATTTGTTCTGATGAACTGTAGCTAAGTTACAAGTGAACACATTCTGCTTTGTGCTTTTTATACCTATCCACCAGTAGGCTCGGGGAGCTTTTTTGGCTTCACCCTAACTGGTGTAGGAAATCAAAGGGCGCAGACTGAAATTATTTACTAATATTGTCCCTAGGAAGAGTAATATTCCGCTGAATCTACCACCGGTTCGGTATCGCAACACCCTGACAAGATCCGACGAGAAACTAAATCATCATCATCAACAGCCCATAGTCGTCCACGGCTGGACATAGGCCTCTCCCAATTCACACCACTGAGCCCGGTCTACGGCTCTCTTCATCCACTTCTGGATGAGGAGAAACTATAAGTTTTTTGTCTATTATCCTCTGTGCAGTTTTCGTTAGGCAGTTCGACTCCCTGCTTCGATTGCGTACAGCTAGCCACCGGTATCATACTCTTATGAAACCCGATTCGTTTCGTTATCACACACGCACACACACACATTACCAGATAAAATCGGTTAAAATTTTAGTTTATATTCTTTAGGAATCATATAATATTGCATTCCTTGGATAGCTATGAGAACCAATCTCTCCATCCTCGAAGAGCTGAAGGTCACCAAGCGCCTGCTGACTACGTGCCAGGAAAGGATCCGGAGTTTCTTTGGGCACATAATGCGATCCCCATTGCACAGCCTGGAGAAACTCATCATTCTCGGACAAATGGAAGGGAAGCGCGCTAGAGGAAGAGCGCCAGCTAGATGGGTGGACCAACTCAGAGGTGACCGGAGGCTAGATACAAGGAGCGGTACATATGGTGCAGAACAGGACCGAGTGGAGAAGATTGACATACAGTCACGATCCTCAGCATTGAGGGAACTACCAGAAAGAAGAAATATCTAATTTAACGCGTATGGATAGCATACAACAAAATGATTCATTACAACAAATATTACTGAAAAAAATACTTAGCCAACCTATTTTTTACTTTGTTAACTATTGTAAATCCTAAGCCTGATATTTTCTGTATAAATAAATTTTAATTGTAATTGTAATCAAATTATTTAATTCTACTGTCAGCAAAATAGTTCTTACTCCTGAGTTGTAAAATAAAAGAAACGGTGGAACAATTTAGGGGATCAGGATTTGATAAATGAGTTCACTAACATAATATGATTTTTTCCATGGTGCATGTTTTTAGCTGATCAGAATAACATAAATAATAAAATTCTGAGGCTTGCATGCAATAGGTAAAAGTTAGGAAGTTCAAAATTAGAGGCAGGACTAATGAACAACTTGAACTAGTAACCTGAATCTTTATTAATTAAATGATAGGTTTGTTGGAGGTTCCTAATTACTGGTGGCCCGGTAGCCTTTCCAGTTTCATCAGGACAGGTGGGCGAGTAGAGGTTCAGCCAGTATGCATGGGTTCAGCCAGAATACTTACTATACCTGAGATACAGCAGACAAAGAGAGGGGAATACATGAACTAAGCCCTGTCACCTAATAACCATTTTGATTTCTTAGACTAAAAACTTAGCAGAAATTTACAAGCAACACAGTAGTAGTTCAGAGTTCAAAACCAAAATCAATCATTTTGAAATTCTCTACAGTTAGTAAGCTTACAAAAGTCTCTTTGATCGGTTCATCCAATGTGTTAAACTCCATGTTGTCTCCACTGGATGGCCCTCGGCCAGGTATATTCATTTCCCCCTCAATTACTCCCACATCTCCCGCTGGATACATCTGGAATGAAATATTATTGGCTAATATAGTTACATAAGGATGTGACTCATTTTGTAGCATTTAAAATAATGATATATTTTTAATATATTTTAAAATGGGAAGCAATTTTATCTGTCAAGTTTATGTTGATTACTGGATTTTCCTTTTCTACTTTACTACCAAGAAACATTTGAACTGACACTTCATTTCAGCACTGTAGGTTAGATACAAATTACCTACCTTGAGCTTCTGACGACCTGACCTAAACTTTGACTCATTTTTTTTTCAACAACCTTTCTTATTATGAACAAGGCAGTTTTCATTTTGCCTTACAATGCTCTCTGTCTATTACAATTAAAATTGCTCTAATGGCTTTCTTCTTGAACAGATAATTTTTTTGACTATTTCTAGTTTGGAATATCTTTTGAAACTAAAGATCAATTAATCTGACTTTTTTCCTTCCTTCTCTTGTCTTTGTATTGAGATACAGGCACTGTGTACTAGACAGTGTCTTAATACAAGTCATTATTCGTATTATTAATATAGAATTACATTTTACAAACATTTGTTTCATGGAAGACTTACAGTCTCTCCTATTCCATATGGCACAGCTTAAATCTTATTGGCAATAAATAAAAATCATGAAATGATCAATGATTTCAAAAACTTTAAAACAATTTGTCTCAGTCATCATAATGTAACATGAAATTTCACATAAAAATATTATCTCTGGAAATTCAATAAGAGAATATTCATTGATTCCCTAACTGTGTTGCATTTATTTGTATACTGTATAAAAAATATTATATTGATAAAACCAATGAATTTAAGAAATATAATGCCTTAGTGTAATAATACTTTTGAATTTTAATGGCATATAAATATTTTATGTATGCTTTTACCACAAAAAAATATTATAAAGAATCTTCAATAAACAAATAGAAGATGTACTGTGATGTGATTGATCCCTTCAAAAATACTTAAAAGCAAGAGCAACTTACGTCGTATTTCGAGTCAAACGTATTCATTTCAATATTATTTATTTACGAATTGAATAAAATGTGAGTCTTATAGTTTTACTTTAATTTATTTCCCCAACACATCACAAAACATTCTTTACTCCCAATATTTCGTCTTTAGACTTTTTTTATAACTGACAAGTGACAAGTGACGTGTTTCTTAAGTTGACGTGTTATTCAAAAATATTTTATTTCGCATTTTTCATCAACCTGAGCAGCCACACGACATAAACACCCTATCCGTATTTCTTTGCTTCCGCTTGCAGTTCTTTCCATCCTTAAATATCGATGGTTCTTTCACTGAAGCTCCAGTACATGTTTAATATCTATTTTTAGTATTGTTTTAAAGTGATTTAGTAAAAGTACTTGTTTAGCTTTTAGTTGTTTTTTATTTCAAATGATTTTCAGTACCTAGTTTCATTTAGTTTAGTAATTTTTTTTTCATTCCGCTTAATATAATTTCAAAACTGAATGTTTTTAAATTTATTAGTTTCACGGTACGGTACTCGTGGTAGGACCACTTGTGTGTCAGCGCGTGTAGGTACCACCACCCCGCTTATTTCTGCTGTGAAGCAGTAATGCGTTTCGGTTTGAAGGGTGGGGCAGCTGTTGTAACTAACTTGAGACCTTAGAACTTATATCTCAAGCGAGTAACGCATTTACGTTGTGGATGTCTATGGGCTCTAGTAACCACTTAACACCAGGTGGGCTGTGAGCTCGTCCAACAACCTAAGCAATAAAAAAAAAATCATTACCCCGTGCCTATCAGATTTGACAATAAAATACAATTATAATAAATAAATATTTTTAAATATTTTCTTAATTACACTTTGGAAATTTTTGAATTAACATCTGACAAGTTTTTTAGCAGAAACGCGAGGTGCTAAGCTCTGATAAATTTTGTTAACGTAATGCTCAGGTTTAATATTTACGCGTCATTGCCGTGTAATAACGGTGATTACTACACTTATTAAACTGTACTACATTATGAACTGTTTAATATCTCTGAAGATGCACAAATGTGGGAAAATGAAACAAAGACGCAGGACGTAGCTTCTCAAAAACTTCCAAAAAGTCTTAGTAAATAACCACCATTTCACAGAGACTATATTTCATCACATCTCATCTCATTTAATTAACATCCTTATTGATTTACTATCTCAATAATAAACTTCATTTCATTTCGCTCCACGGTTTTTCAAAACACAAAATGAACAAAAAATTACGCTGTATGGTGTGATACCTTCGTTTTCCCAGTTCGAAAAACAGAATAGCTGTACCTACTGGTACCTCCTCCTTGCATCGTATTCCTCATTGCTGAGGGTCGTGACCACCCTTTTGTATCACCTTCGCACGCACGATTTTTCTCCATCCATTCTTGTCTCTGGCGGTACCTACCTACTCTCGAATATATTAAATGTGGACTTTTTGGCGGGAACGCGAGGAGTGAAGTTGTGTGATTTATTTTATTTTGCCTATTTAGTGTTTCTTCAGGTTTAAATGTGTAATAACGGTGGTTTATTAACTGTTTAATATCTGTGAAAGTGCACAAATGTGGGAAAACGAAACAAAGTCGGTGGGCGTAACTTCTCGGGATCCTCCAAAAAGACCACTGAAAAAATCTCAGTAAATGACCACCATTTTACTGAGATTACATTTCATCCCATATCATCTAATCCCATTTCATTTAATTTCATCCCGTTGATTAATGTCTCAAATTAACCATCTTCATTTCGTCTCATTTCATTTCACTCCATATTATCATTTTTCATAAAAATAAGATCATATAAATTAAAATAAGATATGACTTAAAGGTAGCCAGGGCATAAAATCCCTTAAAAAAAATTAAATGTATAATCTATGCCTACATCATTGATATTACAATTGAGACTTTTTGGCGGGAACGCGAGGAGTGAAGTTGTGTGATTTGTTTTATTTTGTCTATTTAGTGTTTCTTCGGGTTTAAATGTGTAATAATGTTGGTTTATTAACTGTTTAATATCTGTGAAAGTGCACAAATGTGGGAAAATGAAACAAAGCCGCTGGACGTAACTTCTCGGGATCCTCCCAAAAGTCAACTGAAAAAATCTTAGTAAATGACCACCATTTTACTGAGATTATATTTCATCGCATCATCTCATTTTCTATCATTTAATTTCATCCCAGTTGATTAATGTCTTTAATTAATCATCTTCATTTCATTTCACTCCCTATTATAATTTTTCATAAAAATATATAAATTAAAATAAGACATGACTTAAAGGTCTCAGTTACCAGGTCATAAAATCCCTTATTTTTTTATTACAATTGACTATTGACATTGTAGAGATTTTACTTTATTTTACTTCAGTGTTGCAGATTGCCATTAAAAAAAAAACTTCAGTGTTTAATTAATATTACACTATTTTTTAATATTAGCACATAAACTGAAATATAAATGATAAGTACTGAAAGTAATTGATCTGTTTGACTGAACATATCATAAAAATCATTGATATGATTGTGAAGGATCTTATGGTTAAATAAATCTAAAACTTCTATTCTATCCTTATGATCGCGCTATGAAAGTAACTGTAAAAAGTAAGCACAGCTCTTTTTTTCATCATGTTTATTTTCCCTTGTTAATTTAGTTTATTTTTTAGAACATAGAACACACTGACATTAAAGTAAATAGTAATATTTACTAAGTGCCTTAATAACATAGAACACAATTCTTAAAAATTCCTCATACAAGGAAGAACCAATTGAAATTGAAATATTCACAGTAACGAGATAATTCATTTTAGGTTGGACAGGGGTTGCAACTTGGAGGTGGGTAGCAAACGACGACAATTGTGGGATTTGTCGTATGCCATTTGATAGCTGCTGTCCAGACTGCAAACTACCTGGGGACGACTGCCCTCTAGTTTGGGGTGCTTGCTCTCACTGTTTCCACATTCACTGTATCGTGAAGTGGCTACACTCTCAGCCTCAACAGCAGTGTCCTATGTGCAGACAAGACTGGAAGTTCAATAACAAGTGAAACATTCGTAAGTACATACCATAAATTAAGAAAATATAGTTTAAATAATAAATAAATATAGGTTTTTATTCTCACACTTTATTGTGTCACTGCTGTCCCATTTTGTAACTATATTTTGTTTACCAACCTATAAGGCTAGAATAATTTGGAAAAAATTATGAAAAATATATTGTTTAGTGTTTTCAAACTCATTAAGTCGTTATCTATCTATCTATCTATCTCTTAGGTTTATGGCGTTTCCTTTTATATTTCGCCAATGTCAAGTGTATTTAATACTCTGCTTTCTATAGCGGGCTTCGTGAACGAGCAAGGTCACAGACATTCACTAAGAATTAAGTGAGTAGCTAAGAATGTATGATGACAGGATTTCTGTTGATTTACCTAAAACACAGTAAGTCGTTAAATGGTCCGATGATTATAGAGTCAACAATCCTCATTAGTCATTTAGTGTTGAGTGATAATAAGCTTAAATCTCACCTATTTTTTTAATTGCTTAGATGGGTGGATGAGCTCACCTAAACTTATTAACTAATATTAGTATAGGATATAGGGATTGATCTGCACATAATAGCAACTTTTATTATTAATGTCAGAATAATGCAAATCTAACATAAATAAAGTTGACAATATTACAACATTTTTCTTTCTTTGAAGCTTTGATTACGGAGTTCTACAGTTTCCTTCCTTTTATAATTCAGCAGAGTACTAAGTTTTAAAGACAAAAGGTTGCTACTATGCTAGTACAGATTAAATATTATTAGAGTTTTCTGTGAATTGTTGTACAAGGGATTGTCAAAAATATCATAATATCGAGGGGTGAAAGGTTATTATTTGATTTAAGAGATAATATGCGATATTTATCTTTGTAATTAAAGGTGCATTTTATTTAGTGTCAGTATGAACAGTAATTTTTTAATTGAACTTTAATTAAGCTGAAGAAGTTTTTTTTGTTAGCATATTTTTTCCAAATTTTAAACCTTAAATGGCTACTACTACTAATAATACTACTGATAAATTTAGATGTAATGGTGAAATCAGCCTATCTTATGTTCTTTTCCATCATTTGTATTTGGGCAGGGATTCGATGCAGTGTAGTTCGACTACCGCAACCTGAATTTGTTCGAATCACTCTATGAGATCCGAAATTATAAATATTAGGTAATAATTATGAAAAAACATCTGTGGTGACAGTAAACAATCAGTGGAAAAATATTCTGTAAGGATTCTGGATGATTTGTCTTTGGCACCAAATAATTTGGTCAAAGGGCAAATGATCTCTCCCAGAAAAACAACCAAAATACTGGTATAGTTGTAAAATGTAATTTTTGTTATACAGTATTTATAATATATTTTTACTGGGCGTCTTGTCTGTCTGCACTGATAGTTACCACCATCCTACATATTTTTTTTTTATTGCTTAGATGGGTGGACGATCTCACAGCCCACCTGGTGTTAAGTGGTTATTGGAGCCCTATAGACATCTACAACGTAAATGCGCCACCCACATTGAGATATAAGTTCTAAGGTATCAGTATAGTTACAACGTCTGCCCTACCCTTCAAACCGAAACGCACTACTGCTTCATGGCAGAAATAGGCGAGGTGGTGGTACCTACCCGTGCGGACTCACAAGAGGTCCTAACCACCTACTTAATCAAATATCATTTAGTTTTAAACGCGTAATGTTTGTTTGGCAATGACGCGTAAATAATACACGCGGGGGTAGACATCTACCAGCTGCTTCTCGCATGGCCAATTGTAAGTAGTTCATTTATGCGCTAGGGATGCCAATAATCTGATTATATAGGTATGCGCCAGGTAAAGCTACTAATAACATTGTCTATAACGAGGCTCTATACACAATCATATATATCATCAGCTACCTATCAATGAAAGTCTCGTCAAAATCGGTCTAGCTGTTTCAGAGATTAGCCGGAACAAACAGACAGACAGACAAAAATTGTAAAAATTGTTATTTTGGTGTATGTACCGTTTAAATATTTTTATGCATGTAGTAAAAAGCGGTTATTTCAATATTACAAACAGACACTCCAAATTTATTTATTTGTATTGACGAACATGATAAATTCTCGTTTAATATCCCCAACATAGTGTTCATTAAATAACTAAATGTACCTACAGAAATCAAATATTCAATATGTAGTTATGAATTAATTAGTGTTCATAAATTTAGAGATGCAAACTATTTAGCAAAATTTAAACTTTGAAATATAATAACATGTAAATAGCAGCTGTGTTGTACGGTAACATCGTGATTACCATGAAACAATAGGACGGAAAGTACTTTCGAAACAGCCAACAACAATAGTCCGCCGTCTCGAGTGAGCCGACCGGTAGCCGTCGGTGCATTCATTCTCATGGTAAACAATCACTTTTACGTTGCTTAATGTATGGGTCAACTTATTGTTAGTCTCAACAACGCTTACTAACTACACCCAAACGTAACGAATCATAGTTACACGGGAGTACTTTTGAAGCATTGAAATAAGTTAGCAAGTTTTGACGAGGAAACGAACGGCACGAGTGTTTTGTGTATTGTGACAGCGGCTATTGGAGACCGCCTCCCCCAGTCAGAGTCGCGCGCCTGCGGGTACGGACGTGTCGGCCGCATGTGGATTTGTCGCGAGTGGTGTGATCACACGGCGCCGGTATTAACGCGCTCCTTGTACTATAGTACTTTTATTATAGTATTGTCCGAGTGACGCCTCTTTTAATTATGCTCATGGTCCAGACAAACGCTCAGCCGATGAAGAACAACAAACTGAAAGGCCCACCTCCTGTGCCTCCGCGACCAAATCAAAGTGTTGTGGCGGAGGCGCTGGCGAAAACGAGGAAGGCCGTTGCGGAATCGAAGGCCAACTTTACCAAGTCTCGTAGTTATTCTAAACAAGAGCACTCGAATAGCGGTGCGCGTTCTAAAACTTTGGAAAGAGCTAACACAGTGCAGCCGACAGTCTCGCCCAAACAAAATGGTTTGGCCCGTGTTAAGTCATTTATTAGAGACGTTATCAGCGACCGTAGTTCTTCGTCTGATGAGCGTAAATCCAGTGGTCAGAACTCGAGAAGAAGTTCGAGTGACAGTAGTTCAACACCTGCGGCTATTACAGTGAGAAAATCGAATGAATCACTCAACTCTAAAGCAGTTAAAACCTGTCGACAGATATTAGTGAGATCACTGTCGACGTCAAACAAATTAGATCAGCAAGATGCAAAATGCAAGGTTACAAAGTCATCTAGTTTTGCAGAAAAATCTTTGCCATTGCGTAAAGCTCCTCCACCGCCTCTCTCACCTAAACCTAAGTTAAAACCAATGAAACCATTACCGGTACAAAAACGTCCAAAGGTAAATACACCAACGAAAGAATCACCTGAGATTAGTCTTTACGCTTCGCCAATAGACGCGAAGCCACCTCGTAGTCCCCAGTCTGAGGCGCCTTATGCTTCAGTCGAGGAAGTTCAAGAATTCGACGACCGGCTTCGCAACAGTCCCTCGAGACAAATCGACAATATCACGGATCACAAAGAGCTCAGGATTGTTAATAATGAAACAGAAAATAAAAATAATAATTCTCTAGAAAGGAAAACATCTCAAGTGACAGAAATGCTAATCTCGGAAATATTAGCGAGCAGAAACAACAACAAAGACGAAGCTAATACGGTTATAGATAAAGGGAAAGATTCTGAGAATATCACCAAAGAGAACGAGTCACATCAGATGCAATTGATGAAGGACATGAACAATCACGAGATGTTGATTTATGAACTACAAACGATGCGGTCACAGTCTGACGTACCGCAAAGTTTTGAAACGAAGGACATAGAAAGAAATGGACATTGCGATTCTGAAGATTCTGAACAAAACTACGCGATGTCCTCTGTGAACAGTGAAAATGTGGATGATGATTATGAACACGCTTACGCTTATATTGTTGATGATGATTTAAAATCTAGGTAGGTATTTATATTTGCCAAAGGGCGGAAGATGTTTTTTTTTAAGTTTACTGATATAGTAATAAAAATCACCTAGGTATTGTCTTTTTTTAATATGGTAAAAGGGCAGTTAGTCTCAAATGAACTGATAAAACTGGATTGCTTAAATTCATTTCATATAACAGAATATATACGAGTAGGTTCATCTACAGACGAATGATGCGGTGTTGCATAAACGTATCTTCAGTTTGTCGGGTAAACTATTACCTTAACATGTCTGTTTTTGTGGCGGGAGAGAAAATTCCTAACCAGGCAAAAATACGGGCCGCCCGGCGAGAAATGTGTGGAAAAAATAGCTTGCGGTTTTGTGATACCAGTCGTATAGGATCTAGCGTAGCTTATTTATGAATGTACAAGGATTTTTTTTTTACTGCCTAGTTGCGTGGACGCGCTCACGGCCCTACTGGTTTTCAATGGATTTTACGGTACAACGGCTGCCTCACCCTTCAAACCGAAAGGCATTAGTGCTTCACGGCAGAAATGAGCAGGGTGGTGGCACCTACCCGTGCAGGCTGACAAGACGCCCTACCCTACCCTGAGACTTATAATCCATGTCTCAAGATGGGCGACGGCATTTTCGTGGTTAATATCTATGGGCCTCGTTTTCCACTTACGACCAGGTGGTCAGTGAGCTCGTCCACCCATCTTAGCAATAAAGAAAAGCATCCCTGTTTAAGAAAAGAAAACATAATATTCTGAACTGTTAAATTTGAATGTAAATAACGCATGAACATGTGCGTGCGCGATATTATCAGATTCCGTTTCACCTGCCCGAATGCTCGACTAATATTGTCATCTGTGCTCACAATGACAGCAGCTGTTTAAACAGTAAATATATGTCTCATAATACGGGTCAGTCTATCTCATTAGAATCGACATGCCGGCACGTGCCCTCTCTTAAGAATAAAGATTGAATTGTTTTATTAAGAATCTTATTATAGCGTCAGGTGGATCGTTGCAAATATAATGTTATAACAGTACAGTTTCCTGGTAGTAAGTAGGCTTTAGACGGGTAGTTACCAGATTATGCTTATTTCTGTGTATATAAATAAATCATTAAAAATGTTCATATATACTAAAAATATTATACATCCGGCCGAACAAAAACACATGGTCATTACAATAGCGCTTTGAAAATATATCTTGTCAGTACATGCATTAAGGTATTTTTCTTTCACTGTTGTAGTCTAAAATCTTGTCTAAATCTCCCTTTAAAATCAAAGTTGTAAAATCAAATATTCTAAATATTAAAAAATCTATTAAAGTTATTTTAGAGAATATACATAGTACATTTTCTTTGGGACACAGAATTAATAAATTCTACATGCTTGTACAGTTCGGTTTATATTCCGTATTCCAACTAAATTTCAATTACATTTAAACTCCGAATTAAAAAAGAGGCGTCATTTCAGAGTATTTGCTCAAGATATCCTCAGAAAAGCACAACAATGCTTACCAATGTTCCAATAAATACAAAAACGGTCGCGTAGCTAATAATACAACTCAAATCAAATTTGTTTATTTTATCAAAAACAACAAGAAGCAATATTTTCCAAGCACTTTGTCAGGTTTATTTGATGCTTCGATAAATAGATCGATCCACTATGTGCATCATTAATTATTTATCGAAGCATAACATAGTTAAATATCGTCTTTTCGTATTAAAAGTGTACAATTTCCATAAATATTAGAAATTGAGTTAATATGCGGAATAATTTGGTAACACCAGTACTTTTCTCATAAATACTGTCAAAAGAGCGTAGTTTAGTTTTAGTATATATTTTTTTAGTTTACCTATGTTTTGACTACTATTGACAAAATTAATACATAATTTTATCTTGAATAGACAGATAATGTAACTGGTAAAAAATAAAAAAATTATGTTGCAAAGACACTCTCCTGTAAAATTAGTAAGTTTGAGATTATACAAAATCCTTGTAAGATATTCAATTTTTTGTTTCTGCTGTTGAAAAAGAATTTTTTTTGTGTGCGATATTTAGCTAAGCGAAACGAAGCAATTAATAAATGAACTAACCGAAAGTCAATACATAAACGAATACAATGCATACGTAAACTTATCAAATAATATATGTATTTCTTAAAATTCGTGTTGCCAACAGGCTACGTAAACAGTTCCGGGCGATCAGCACAATGTCGTTGCAAGGCCTGCCCCCACTACCGAAGAGTCTCAGTGGCTTCGCGGAAGACGATCCGGATACTCCGGACCCTCCAGACACATCCAACGAAAAACCACCCACCGATCTTGATTCACAGCTCGTTTATCTCAAGAAAGAAATGGTATGTACAGCTTTATATTTAAACTAGCGACCCGCCTTCGCTTCGCTTCTGAAACATGAAATTTTATTATTGATTATTTACGACATCACATTAGAAACCTCAAAAATAACAGTATTTCTCCATTATTTAATGGATGTTATTATACATATAAACCTTCCTCTTCAATCACTCTATTTATTTAAAAAAACCGCATCAAAATCCGTTGCGTAGTTTTAAAGTTTAAGCATACATAGGGACAGACAGATGAGTGATTCTACGCAGTGATGTTCTTAACAATAATTTGCTTACCAATAAAGATCGTGTCCTGTGGAACAACTGTATTTACTATAAATCGTCAATGCATAATATTAAAATATTCCACTGTATCTTAACTAAACAGACCTATGCAAAATAAATTATAATGTTACGTATAAAATGTAGACCTTTACTACATACAACCTCGTAAAGTTTATTAACGCGAGCCCTATATTAACTGGCGGCCGTTAGATGTTTTAATATTACGGCTTCATAAAAACCTAAATTACTCAATAAATCCGTCTACGGGATGTTACGAAAGCCTCGAATTTCAGTCATGAAACTTTGTGATACCGGCCACGTACAGACAGACGACCGGGCGGGCGGAACATCAACAAGTTTTATAAAAGAAAAAGAAAAAAATAAATAAAGAGTCGTGACACCGAAAATAGAATGACTCCCCCGCTGCAACGCGAACACTGGGCAACACGAAATAAATAGACGTGGATATACGAAGGCTGGAAAAAACAGATGTTCGCTCACATTAGTTCTTATCTGTCCATGAATGTTTCGTAAACGTTTTGATTTCGTGGATTTAGAATATATTTTTTGCTAGTAATAGTAACACGACCTATTTACCGTTCTGATGTAGTCCGATATTGATGATTTAGTTGAAAGGTGTATAGCTTGTTGGCAGGTGAAACGATTCACACGGATGTCCGACGTTTAATTAATTTTTAATGGCCATTAATAGTGTTTCAGGTTTATGATTAGAGCTTGTAGTCGTTGAGCAATTGTAAGCATTTCATTGTTGAATAAGTGTTATTCATAAATAGCATTATGATTGAAAGCTAGGTAGGTACCATTAAACAGAGGCAAGTCATTTCATAAAGAAAACTGCGCACAAAATTTAAACATTAATTTTAAATGTAGATTTTTTTGTTGCTCCGAATACTTTATAGATTCTAATAATACAATACCTCGTTGAGTTTCTATAAGGCCGTCCGAAATTCGGCTAATCGAATCCCGATAATCCCAAAGTCATATTTTTAAAATTGAATATTGTATAAGTAAAATTGTAAATGGAAATGAAACGGTATTGTAAAATAGTTTACTAACAAATCTACCTTTTACATTATCCTGTAGACTTACTAATGACCGATTGAGATAACGTAAACGTGTGTGACATAAATAAAAGAACAGATAAAAGTACTTACCTGTGTTGCACAGTGAAGTGCGATTAGGACGTCCACGTCTCTGTTAATGAATACTGATAATCATTTGCCGTTTGTTGCGCAGTATTGGGTTTGCGCAAATATCCTTTGTGAAATACCGTCGTAGAATTGAAGGAAGTAGAAATATTGACGATTGCTTTGGGTAACACAGCTAGATCAAGGATTCTGAAGTATGTAATGTGGCTGTATGTGAATGCTGGAAATGAACGTATACCATAGTTTTGCGCAACTTTCTTGTAACTGGTAAAATAACAAATTCAAAGGGCTTTAAGTCTGAGCGAGATAAGTCCCTCGTGTCGTCCGCATTCTTGGCAACGAAGGCATGACCATGAGAATTCTAGTCTTGCCTACGTCATGAATTAGTCATCGCAGGCTATCGTTTACATATTTCTGTCCTGGTCATTCATTTCTGTATAGTCACACTAATCGATTTCGAAAGAGTAATGTTCAATTCGGGCGTAAGTTTGTACTATTGGATTTTATGCCTTACTTTGATCGGGCTAATCAGAAGAAACGCGTTGGCGACCCCAGACTCCCATTAAGCTCGCTCTTGATTTGCCAATCTCGGGCTTACCATTTCCGAGGAGGGTTAAATTCAGATGGGCATCAAATCCGGTCGTAAAAGTACACCAAACGAAACTGCAACATTGCTATGGTATGTTGTTATGTCATCTTCACCTCGCAATAAAGGAGTTAGAAAATTGCAATTTACGTTATAATTCGGCCAACCTAGATGGTTTTAATTTGAGGTTTTATAATGAGGTGATCATGGTCGTATGCGCGCTGTCTTGCCTATTTCTGTTAGGAAGCAAACATGTGTTCCGGTTTTATATGTAGGATAAATGATATTCTCATAAAATTATTTTACGTTTTTCGTAAGTGATTTTGATAGGTAGATTTTTATTATAATAGAGCGTAATTAAGACTTGACCTCATACCTTGAATTCACGGTACGGAGAAATAGCATTTAGGTAAAAAAACTTTTATTCAATAACAATAACAACTTCAATTATAATTGTTTATCAATAAGACCTTGAAATGATTCGCGTCCTACGCGTTATGTTCGTACAATGCTAATAGCGTTTATTGATTTATAATTAATGACATGCCACAATTTGTAAGTCATCTTTATTTTGAAATAATATATACCTACCTACATAGTGTATTCATTAAATATATATTAAACAGCCTTCTGGCCTTACATTATTAGACGCGTAGATATTGCTCTGTATTATGAAATTATCTGATAACCTTGCCATGATAGTATTTCTCCCGGGATTATGTCTTCCGTGGGACGATACCCATTCCATGCCGTACCGAGAGGCCGTAAGCTTGTCACAGACACAACGAGGCGTATTATTGATCACCATAAAATGGCACGTTTTGAAAAAGACCGAAATCAATTAACTGACCTAATTGTTCGCAAGGTTATAGACGCACAGTGACAATTGATTGAGGATACAGTATGGATGCAGTTGTGGAATGTGCTCACCGTTATCCACTCGATTATTATGCGGTGTGAACTCCCTGCAAATGCTGTTTAAATGTTGTGTTCCAAAACTTAATAATACGTGCACAGAGAACACAAATCAGTGTTTTTGCGGTCTTACTGTGTTTCGTATTTCCACGTTGCGGCGTATACCCTTGATTCTAGGTTTTTATTTATTGCTTTTCCTGGGTTGACGAGCTCACAGCCCACCAGGTGTTAAGTGGTGACTGGAGCTCATAGACATCTACAACGTAAATGCGCCACCCACCTTGAGATATAAGTTCTAAGGTCTCGAGTATAGTTACAACGGCTGCCCCACCCTTCAAACCGAAACGCATTACTGATTCATGGCAGAAATAGGCAGGGTGGTGGTACCTACCCGTGCGGACTCACAAGAGGTCGTACCACCAGTAATTACGCAAATGATAATTTTGCTGGTTTGATTTTTATTACACGATGTTATTCCTTGACCGTGAAAGTCAATCGTGAACATTTGTTGAGTACATATTGATTAGAAAAATTGCTACCCGTCTGCGGTTTGAACACCGATGCATCGCTCAACACGAATATACCGGACATCTTATCCTTTAGGCCACGACGACTTCAACTTCAATGGCAACTGTAAATCGTCTCGGTGCGAACTATTTCTTCGTTAGTGGCTCAATCTTCAACCACGTATATACCCTCCGAGATTAGTTTGTTAGTTCTTAACATTCCTTCATCTCATTCAAACGCACTTTCGTTAGATATCAAACAACTATGTATTTTGCTATAAGCGTTTACACGAGCATATTTGTACACTTTTGCTTTCTTTCTAAACTTTCTGGTTTTTGGATCGTCACAGATACTAATATCGTGCTATGCTAGTAGTCTTTGAGATGTACGTTGATCTAATTCTGAACCCAAATCAAAATTGTATTGGGATTATGTACATTCTTTAGTTTAATCATATTATAGGACAATACGTTTCTTTAATTGCCTTTGTAGACAGATGTGCATACCGTCCACCTGAAGGTATAGTAGTCACCGGACATGGTCAATGGCACAGCCAAGCCGCTTCCTAAATGCTAATGCAAATAGAGTTCGTGTTGTGCGTAAATTTAGGCAATGCTCTCCAATATAGACGACAACGACTCCCCATTAGGTGTGTCGTGATTTCCCTTGCCTTTAATAATAAAAAAAAAAAATGGATTTATTAGTATCTCATCAATATAATACTGGTGGTAGGACCTCTTGTGAGTCCGCACGGGTAGGTACCACCACCCGCCTATTGCTGCCGTGAAGCAGTAATGCGTTTCGGTTTGAAGGGTGGGGCAGCCGCTGTAACTATACTGAGACATTAGAACTTATATCTCAAGGTGTGTGGCGCATTTACGTTGTAGATGTCTATGGGCTTCAGTAACCACTTAACACCAGGTGGGCTGTGAGCTCGTCCACACATTTAAGCAATAAAAAAAAAAAAAAATAGAGATGCCTCTTCTATTTGTTAACCGAATGGAATATTGTCAGGTTTTGTTGTGTAAGATCCTCTGAATTTCAATGATAGTTCAATGAGCGTTACTATTAAGCAGCGAACCGAAAAAGCCGCGGCCCGTCATTGCACACCGTAATTATTCCGAATTTATCGATAGCTATATAAAAATTAGAAATCTAGAAGCGATAGGAATCATAACAATCCCATTTGGTTTTTTGCATCCGGCTATAAATACGTTTTTAGTTGTCTGTTTCGTAATCTTGTTAGCGTTTGCGCGTAATGACTGCGCGTTGTTAGTGTGGGCCGGTTGTTAAACGAAGCCTCACCGTGTTGTGTTTACTACAAATTGTCGTTTTCATAATCTACACGCTCGTTGCTGAGTTGAAATCTTAATTATGTAGATGGGATAGTCGCGGTAACATCTTTTTTATCTTCATTGGTTCAACCTTCTTTCCTGTTTTGCTGGTGTGGGAATGACACAGTTGAAACAATATTAGCTTAGCTGACTAACTATCGAGAGTTTTAAAGTAACTTTTATACAAAAATACGAATGGTATAGAACGATTGA